ATGTGGTAATTAAGTTTCGTACGTATATCGGTACAACCCGACAAACTAGAAATCCAGAATTCAACGAAGAGTGGCAACCAGCACGTATGTATTCGAATTGGCGAATATGTACAGCATATGGAATATTAAAACAAGAGAATAAGGAATAGAGCAATGAATAGAGCATCAGTCATGTTCATCACATCCGCGCTTCTATGTAAATCTCGTTTGTTGCGTACAAGTCTTGACTGTGCCAAAACCGCTTAAATTTAATTTTTCAAGGGTACTGATTTAAGACTTGCTGCAGGAATAGTGCTTCTATCAAATGGAAAACGGTTGGTCACAACTCTCGATTTGGATTATCCCTCTTGTCACCTGAAACACATTGACCAGGTTGAGTTCAATACCAGAGGTCAGTCTGTTAACGGCACTCCTGCTGTTTCAAATACTAATGAGTCCTTTGTAGATGATCTTATGGTATCCTAACAAAACGTATCTGAAGAAAACACAACCTGTGAAATGTCTGAAGTTTTCATTCCGAGAAGACGTGAAAGATTGCGGTCAAGACCACCGGTGGACTATAAACATCCACGCGCTCATTCAAGGTGTGGCGGATGTGATGAACTTGATCAATACTCTATTCGTTGCTCTATTCATTACTCTGTTGTTGTATTATTCCATATACTGTACATATACGCCAATTTGAGTAGAAGCTTGCTACTTGTTGCGCTACACTGAATCCTGGATTTCTAGTTCGTCTGGTTATACTGATATACGTGTGGAGCTAAATTCTCACAGTATTCCATACATTCATGACGTTATGTCCCCTTAAAGTCTCGTGACATATCACCAAATACCTTGGAGATGATGTATCAGATCGTTCTCAACTCTTTATGCTCGAAAGGTTGGGTTACACCAACTATCCTCACATATGCTTATTTCATTCGAATTTGGCCAAGAAATTGCACGGAAGTTTGGGCACTCAGTGAAGCAAGTGGCAGGAAATGTTTCAGGCAACTTGACCGACACTTTATTTAGTGGCCCCCATCGCTCACCGTCATCCTTTGGGTTTTGCATGACTGTAGGGGCAATGGCATGAAGTAAGATACCCTTTGTCTACGGATGTAACAGCCCAGCTGAGTCTAGGCTTGGTGGGACGAGTCTTTCTCTGGTTACTATGTGCTCACTCTTAAGTTAAATGTTTTTGAGAGGAGATTATATCACATGGAGCTTAGTAATCGTTGGTTGTGCACTGAAAATCTATACAGGCCTCACCTTTGCTGTGCGACTGAAGATAGTCAGGCTTGGGTTAAATACAAAGGAACCTAAGCTGCCCTCGTCTGAATATGAATTACATATATAGGATTTTCAGGGAATCGTTCGTTCGGCTGGTGAACAAGGGGACACTTTGTCTAGCATCTCGCCAAACACAGATAGTGAGTAAACTTCCAGGAAACGTCACACCTTCAGCCAGGGCCCCACCAACGTCTGACCCGAGGTACCAGTGCTTACTTACCTCCTGGGTTAGTATGTATGTGTGCTTAGCCACTCTGAGCCGTACTTTTGGCATACGAAGTGAGAGTATGTCAGTATGATGGACAGCATCCAACTGGAAAATGTCTTACTTTACGTTTGACGTCAAAGTATTCTGTAACAGACACGTTCGAGATCTGATTTGTTTTCAGTTTGAATAGCAATGCTCTTGCTAGTTCGTTTCTCTGGGATCTAAATTTTAGATTCTTTCAAACCCTCCTCCTCAAGACGAACCTCTGGAATCCTGTAGACGACAGACCAACCAGCTCCTTTATCAAACAGCCAACTTTATCCTTTTCTGGAAAATGCAACATAAGCAGAATGCGACGATCATCTACCTTGTTGGTCGAGTAGCCCGTGATAAAGTGGTTTGATATCAATAAGTAGTTTACGAAATTCCTCTTCTGTGTCATCTATTGTGTGGTCGACCGCGGTAACTAGGCTCATGTTTGTAAAAGTGACTATCATACATTGAGGGTCAGTTCAGTGTGAATTTGACCAGGATGAGCCATCGGGCGGGATGAGGAAACCCAAGGGTTTATCTCTCACTAGGTCATCACTTCTGGTCCGCTAAAGGATGAAGTATATGGCATTTCCGGCCATTGTTCGAAACTAAATGCTCTTCATTACCCATACGAAAGCCGGATAGGTCCATTACCCCCACAACGCCACGTGTGGCCCACGTGCACGTCAACGTCTACTGATCCGTATTCATCCCATATGGCCGCCCAGCTACTCTTCTACTCCTAAACTGCGAAGGACTGCATGCTCATTGTCGTGGTGCAACAACGCAGTGAGTGCAGAAGAGAGGTTAGTTTCCGACAAGGTCGGTCAGGTAGGAAGTAGGGAGATGGGAGCACAAGAAACGGGTGGATCGGGTGAGTGATCACATGGGACATGTGGATGGCTGGTGAACTGGTTGAAGTGAGTTGCTTGACCTGAATGGGGGCAGGATTGTCCACTACTAAGTCAAATAATTCGTATGGACTGGGGAGCACGAGATCGTTCTCTTTGATAACCCTGAGGGGTCAGCCTTTGACGGTGGAGGGGAGCGTTTTACTAACCTTGCCCTGCATTCATGTAGGTGTAGGTTTGACCATTACTGTTAATGCCTCAGTTGGCATGTGCCCCAAATTTGTGAAATTAGCCTAATATTATCATATTGTTGCGTTGAGGAGGGAAGGGTACGTGATGTTGGCAGACATGGCGTCATCTTCGCGGATTGATAAATAGGATCGAGGCTTCCACTCAGTTTTCCTCAGTAGTGTTGTTCATGTCGTTCAGTGGTTGCCGTTCTCTTTGTTCTCAGCGGGGTGCAGTAGGCTTGCCAGCACTCGCATACGAGTGTCTTATAGCGCTTTGAGCTGTGTTGCCGGATGGACCGTGGACAACCGTCGGAGGAAGGTTATTCCACGCAGCAGCCACCCGGAATGAGGGAAAAGTTTGCACAATGCAAGTGTGCGCCCTGAGCTTGAAAACCTTACCATGCCCACGACATGTGTCACCTGTCAGGGAATCGTTCGTTCGGCTGGTGAACAAGGGGACACTTTGTCTAGCATCTCGCCAAACACAGATAGTGAGTAAACTTCCAGGAAACGTCACACCTTCAGCCAGGGCCCCACCAACGTCTGACCCGAGGTACCAGTGCTTACTTACCTCCTGGGTTAGTATGTATGTGTGCTTAGCCACTCTGAGCCGTACTTTTGGCATACGAAGTGAGAGTATGTCAGTATGATGGACAGCATCCAACTGGAAAATGTCTTACTTTACGTTTGACGTCAAAGTATTCTGTAACAGACACGTTCGAGATCTGATTTGTTTTCAGTTTGAATAGCAATGCTCTTGCTAGTTCGTTTCTCTGGGATCTAAATTTTAGATTCTTTCAAACCCTCCTCCTCAAGACGAACCTCTGGAATCCTGTAGACGACAGACCAACCAGCTCCTTTATCAAACAGCCAACTTTATCCTTTTCTGGAAAATGCAACATAAGCAGAATGCGACGATCATCTACCTTGTTGGTCGAGTAGCCCGTGATAAAGTGGTTTGATATCAATAAGTAGTTTACGAAATTCCTCTTCTGTGTCATCTATTGTGTGGTCGACCGCGGTAACTAGGCTCATGTTTGTAAAAGTGACTATCATACATTGAGGGTCAGTTCAGTGTGAATTTGACCAGGATGAGCCATCGGGCGGGATGAGGAAACCCAAGGGTTTATCTCTCACTAGGTCATCACTTCTGGTCCGCTAAAGGATGAAGTATATGGCATTTCCGGCCATTGTTCGAAACTAAATGCTCTTCATTACCCATACGAAAGCCGGATAGGTCCATTACCCCCACAACGCCACGTGTGGCCCACGTGCACGTCAACGTCTACTGATCCGTATTCATCCCATATGGCCGCGCCAGCTACTCTTCTACTCCTAAACTGCGAAGGACTGCATGCTCATTGTCGTGGTGCAACAACGCAGTGAGTGCAGAAGAGAGGTTAGTTTCCGACAAGGTCGGTCAGGTAGGAAGTAGGGAGATGGGAGCACAAGAAACGGGTGGATCGGGTGAGTGATCACATGGGACATGTGGATGGCTGGTGAACTGGTTGAAGTGAGTTGCTTGACCTGAATGGGGGCAGGATTGTCCACTACTAAGTCAAATAATTCGTATGGACTGGGGAGCACGAGATCGTTCTCTTTGATAACCCTGGGGGTTCAGCCTTTGACGGTGGAGGGGAGCGTTTTACTAACCTTGCCCTGCATTCATGTAGGTGTAGGTTTGACCATTACTGTTATGCCTCAGTTTGGCATGTGCCCCAAATTTGTGAAATTAGCCTAATATTATCATATTGTTGCGTTGAGGAGGGAAGGGTACGTGATGTTGGCAGACATGGCGTCATCTTCGCGGATTGATAAATAGGATCGAGGCTTCCACTCAGTTTTCCTCAGTAGTGTTGTTCATGTCGTTCAGTGGTTGCCGTTCTCTTTGTTCTCAGCGGGGTGCAGTAGGCTTGCCAGCACTCGCATACGAGTGTCTTATAGCGCTTTGAGCTGTGTTGCCGGATGGACCGTGGACAACCGTCGGAGGAAGGTTATTCCACGCAGCAGCCACCCGGAATGAGGGAAAAGTTTGCACAATGCAAGTGTGCGCCCTGAGCTTGAAAACCTTACCATGCCCACGACATGTGTCACCTGGGTCGACGGTGAAAAACCTGTTGACCAAACCTCGTTCAAACAGGGTATAAGTAAGAATTAGGTCTCTTCGGAGGCGACTATCAGGAGGGAGAAAGAGCTGAAGCAACACGAGATGCTTATATTAGACCGGTAAACATTTTCGTAACGGCCTGATGGACACGCTCATTGTTATTTCACGGAGGCGACTATACTCCAGGAGAAAGAGCTGAAGCAACACGAGATGCTTATATTAGACCGGTAAACATTTTCGTAACGGCCTGATGGACACGCTCATTGAGGGTTATTTCACTGTGCCTTTGAGTGGAAAACTTGGTTAGTGAAAAGGTGTGCAACCAGAGAGGTTACCAAATTTATTAGCTCTACGTCGAGGCTCTAAAGGTACCTCTGTGGCACACTTATCTCCTTCCTGTCTTGGTGGTTCTAAGAACTGTCTTCATTTGCAGACCGGATGGACCGTGGACAACCGTCGGAGGAAGGTTATTCCACGCAGCAGCCACCCGGAATGAGGGAAAAGTTTGCACAATGCAAGTGTGCGCCCTGAGCTTGAAAACCTTACCATGCCCACGACATGTGTCACCTGGGTCGACGGTGAAAAACCTGTTGACCAAACCTCGTTCAAACAGGGTATAAGTAAGAATTAGGTCTCTTCGGAGGCGACTATACTCCAGGAGAAAGAGCTGAAGCAACACGAGATGCTTATATTAGACCGGTAAACATTTTCGTAACGGCCTGATGGACACGCTCATTGAGGGTTATTTCACTGTGCCTTTGAGTGGAAAACTTGGTTAGTGAAAAGGTGTGCAACCAGAGAGGTTACCAAATTTATTAGCTCTACGTCGAGGCTCTAAAGGTACCTCTGTGGCACACTTATCTCCTTCCTGTCTTGGTGGTTCTAAGAACTGTCTTTCATTTGCAGAGTTTTCTTCCCCCCTTGGGATTCCGGTTTACACGGGGCTTTCAGCTTAGCTTTGCCCCTCGTGGGCAAGAATTTCGACCGCTGCTACTTGTAGCTTGTTCACTATCGCATTTTTGGTGACTAGATTTGCTGCTCCAGAAATTGGGGCGAGCATACGTCTGTTTGTTTTCTCCGGCAATTTGGCGTGGTATTATCTATGGTGTCTTCTGAGACACTGAGTGTTGGATGGCAAAATCAGGAAGTATTTTTGGTGGCGCTCTCATGAGGCTCGTTTTCACGGAAGACAGCATCTAGAAGCTAGCAATCGGCTTCCTGAATTGGCGTGGTCTATGTGGCTTGTTTGCCCGTAGTCGCTTCTCCTTTATGTTTGTGTAAACTCACGAGTTGCCCACGACTAGCGTGACCGATTGGGTAAACGGTGGATTATTCGGTTCGCTGTTGCCAGGTTTGTGGCTCTCGCTGTCGGGGTCCTAGGTAACGGTTATGTTCGCAAATGAGCAGGCCAATTTTAATCGAGTGGTGCTGAACACTGCCAGTTTAACAATCTCAGTGAGTGCGGGGTCCTTGCATCATCCCCCGATGTTCAGGCCAGTGCTTGTGGTTGATATTTTAGAGGTAGCTGCCGCTTGTCTCCACCACCAGCTTAATCCAGCTGGGAAGTTGTGAGTTTGGTATGGAATTCACTGTTTCACCTTCATCGTCTGTCACGGCAATAATAGACGATCACACCACGTACATTGTGCGAAGCGTGCACGTGAGGCTTGTCTCCTCCCGAGTATCGCAACCTTATGTAGTCAAAAGGTATGCGGCGGTTGAGAAGAAACTGTAATTCGGAGTCACGGCCGGTTACGTCATCGCGCTTTCAGGAGAACAAAGGGTCATAGTTAAAATCGGTTTGGCCATAAGTTTGGGGTTGGCTGAACTGATGCCAAACGGGAGCCTGGTTCACATCCCTCCTTCAAAATACTGTGGCTCCGCTTTAGCGCGTCTAGGGGACGATCCTCTGATATACGCTCGATCGTTGGGTAGGCCTCTTGAACGCTGAACGTTCAGTCCAAGATCTGTACGGCAAATAGGGAGAAAGTGTGATTAGTTGCCCGAGTGTTCGCTTGCTTCCCTTTTAGCATAAAGCGATTCGAGTTCAACGTTTTTGCATCGGGTTCGATCTAGGCCTTCTGCATTGACTAATCTACCTGCGGGTTTACATAGCTGACTGCTGCCCTGAATTATCTTGCTGTACTCCACATAATATACGTAACTCTGGATGTTCACTCCCACTGTCGACATGTCGAACTGTATTTGGACAAAACTTTGCCTTTATTTTGAACTATGTAACAAGCTCGCTTCCCATATCCGTACTACCTCATCTCACGTAGGCTTTCGAAAGGCCCTCGATTCTTTTCTTTCTATTGAGGGAGCTGAGCGCCTTTTCGCGCCTCAGCTTGCACTAGACACTTTTTGAAATAGGCCCTAAGCCCTTTTAATCTGCTCACTCACCCTGACTGTCCTGTTACTAGGTTCAACTCAGTTGCCGTTATATAACACTACCCCACGAATGTATTTCCTCGAAAAGAGTTCACCGGAAATTTTTAACTCTCCACCGCGGGCACTGGTTGCAGTTTGAGCTGCTTGTCTGATCAAAGGTTGCCCGATCGTGCGCAAAGCTTCTCCGAAATGATGGTAATGTCCTACGCAGTGTCCAACTGCAGATGGACTGCATGGCCATTTACGGTAACTTTCAGATACTTCCGGTTACCTGGCGTGTTGATCTGGAAAGTAGCCAGCAAACTGAGAGACGAGCCAACAGGGTCCTAGCACTTGCACTTACCAAACTGAAACCCAAGCATTATTCTGCAAGTGCGACAGCCACCCTCCCAAGTGTTCTTATTTATAACTTACCGCTTTATCTATCTCTCATGCAGACGTTCAATTCCGGCGAATACATCTTCCGCTCTCTGAATTGCAGAGAATATCTAGTGCCTTCCATCGAAATTGTCATTAAGCCCGTCTCCACAGACTTGGTTGCATTTCCTTCCTCCTGCCTTAAGCTTTTGTACCCAGCCAAATTAATCCTAGTTCCTCAAGTCTGGCCCCATCCCTGAGTAACTCTGTCAGCTCTATTTAATGTCTGGTGCTTTGCTTTGACTAGGTTTAACTAACCTCAGCCAAAATGAAACCTAAGTTCCTCGCTGTTCTGAACCATTCTGCATCCCCTGAACACGCACAGCGCACATACCAAATGGTGGGTCTGAAGATGCACCATGAGTAAAATACTTGTTTGGCCCCACAGCCCAATCATCAACACAACACTTGCGCGCCTCTGCTTGACAGAGTGGTTCACACCAATGCTTTGTCTTCGTTTAGCCATAGTACACAGACTCTGAAAATCTCCATTCCACCCATATTGCTCAAACGCCATTTGATGTTTCATCTGCTCCCGCAACTTGTCTCTTCCAATGGCTGTTTGCTGTTTGCTAGTTTTAAATGACTGAGCTGTTTTGCTGTCCTGGCTTTCCTCCCGACCGGATGAAACATCTGGTAGCTGAAGTTATTTATTAATGCACAAACCGCACTTATGACTGCTTGGACGGTTTTCCACCTTGCAGATCTGGTAGTATGCACGAGGGATGAAAACCTCGTTTGGTGGATGGGTACGCCCTACAGAGAGGGTCACCCTGTTACGTTGCACCAAGGTGTGTTCGTATACTTGCCACCCCGCTAGTAGCACCGGTGTACCGCCCATCGCCGGTGGTTCTGAGCCTGGCCTTTAATTCAGGAAAACCAAAAACAGAGCAGCGTTGCTCCTTGGCTGTAGCTGGATTGACCTTGTTCCGGTTGTCACTTGTCCCACAACACCAAGAAATACAAGCGGACGACAGCTGTCCTCCCGTTTGTTGTAAAAAAAATAAATAAAAAAAACACTTATGCATGAGGTAGGTTGAGTGTACCGTGTGAGCCTCACGGCTAACGTCGACGTGCAAGGAGTTG